AGCCTAAATGATATTGTCTTCTCTGGAGGGGACGGAAAGAAGTCATCATCATCATCATCATCCTCATCATCATCATGAAATGTTGCTTTTTAAAATAAAATATTTTTACTGTATATTCAGTTGACAATGTAAGAATTATGGATTTTCTCTTTAGATAATCCAGCTTGCCTCCTTTTGTGGTTAAGATGGCAGTGCTGTACTGCTTTTGCTTGTCATAGGCAAAGTGACCAGGAATATCAGGAATGAGCAAGTAATTCACAATAGACCAATGATTACTTTTGGCGTTTGGTGAGATTCAAAATCAACTCATTTCTGATTAAACACCACAAGTCTACTCATCATTCCTTTAATTGCATCCTTTTTTTGTTTTGTTTTTCTCAGAACTTCTATAATAAGTACACGACAGATGTTTGAAAAGCATTTGTTTTCCAAGCAACATTAGCCTTGAAAAGACAAATGGGAGAGGTTGGGAGGGCAGAAGGACAGATTTGCACCTGATATATTCATAGGCAAGATTGAATGGCTCTCCAGGGGGGAATTGTATCAGCACATGGTCTTTATAAAAGCTAGGAATGGAACTGGTCAAGTTTCCTTTGTGTTTATTTCTTCGTATGCTGCCAACATATAGGGAGGCTGCCTGTCAAGGCTTCTCAACAGAAAAAGCAAACTATATCCTTAAGATATATATATGTTTGTTTTGTAGGAGCCAAGGGTACACAGCTGTAGGGAAAAGAAAATCAGTATATGCTAAAAACAAAGCTCTATAACCGGATTGTGACTAAACTATAAGTAATGCTGTCAAGGGTGATGTGACATGCTTCCCAATGCGTCTTCATCTCCTGTTTCCTCAGCAACTTGGCTTCTCAATGGTCAGAACTTAGATAACTAATTAAAATGCTGGAAGAAATCATTATTCTTTAATTAAATAATGGATTATTGAAGGCAAACCATTCAATACATGATTGAAAATGCTGTTAAACTAAGAGATCTCTTCCTCTTGGATCTATAATACACACTGAACCCAATAATATGACCCTGGAATCAGTGGTAGAGCTTGTGTGGATCTGAGGAGAGAGAGGTTTGGGTGGAATTACCCAGACAGCAAAACAGGTCTAATGCTTCTTCTCTCACATCGCATACATGCAGTCTTTATGATCTCTCAGTGGTCTTCATAGGTTCTAGATGTTATTAATCATGAAAGCTATAAAGCATTTGGAGATGGCACAGTCATCTTTGTTTTCTCAGAAAGAGAAAGAAGAGAGTGGCCATCCCTAAGGCTTTCTGTCTCTACCTCTGTGCCTATTGTAGACATTGGGCTTCAGGCTCCAATTTATGGTGATGGTGCAAGGCAAGGAATAGGTAAGTTTTACTTTCATGAATGGCTTTGAAAAGCTGTAAGAGAAGAATCACAAAAATCATCCATAAAAACACACACACACATGCACACACATACACATATACACATCTCTTTGATATTTACCTCCTCCTAGGCATTCATGAGTCATTAGTGTTCATAGTGAACCCATTCAGTAACTGGCTTCACTCCAACGTCTGTATCACTCAAAGCTCTACAAGGTATGTTTATCTCAGCTTTAATTCTTGTATGTATACATGTTACATACATATATTTTATACTTATGATATATATATACGTACACATTTTATTTAAATGTATATATAGAAACTTTCTCTCTTTTTCTTCTTTCCTTCTTTTCTTTGTCTTTCTCTCCTTTACTCCCTCCCTTCCTTCCCTCTCTCTCTTCCTTTTTTCCTCTTTTCTATTCTCCTTTCTTCCATCCTTCTTTTTTTTCTACACAAACTAAAATGATATATAAAATATCACTGATCTATGTCCAAATATCAGAAGTATAGAATGTTGATGATTACATTAAAATGTAATTCCAATGAGATTTGTAAAGCAGACCTCTGGGGACAGAGCAGAATATAGTGATTAAGACCAGGAGTCTGGTGTCAGAGAGTCCTGAGTCAATATTTGGCTCAGTTATTTACTACCACTTGGAAATGTCACTTAACCTCATTGAACCTCAGGTTGTCATAAATAAAATGAGAATAATCATTCATCGTATTGTATAAAAATGAAATGATTTGACATAAAGCATTTAAAAATGAGTTTGACTCATTTTAAGTGCTGTTTTAAGGGTGGTTTAGGGGATTATAAAACTTCTGAAAATATATGTATAATGTGTATGTCCAAAAGTACATTTTTTATGAAGCTTTTATCAGATTTTCAAAAGATCTTGGCCCTTTGTAGTTTCATGTATCGGTTAGCACTGGAAGAGAATCCATTTTCAGATAGGTAACATCTGTCTGCTAATCTTTCTTAATAAATCAACTGACGTGTGTGTTGGGAGGGTAGGTGTGTGTAGGCGTGTTCGTCAAAGCCAGTTTGGGTAGCATTTTTGAAGTAGTTAGGAATTATTTACTCAGTTCGTCACAATCTGCTTAAGCCACTTTGAGTGGCAGAATAGTTTTTTAAGTATATGTTACTTTTGTGATTATGAAAGATTTCAAAAATGCAACAGAGCTTAGAAAATTTTATGGCAGATCCTAATGTACTCTCCACACAACAATGACCCTTCCTGATTTAGCAATCTTTAACACAAAGTGGTCTGTATCGCATATGGCTTCTCAAAGTTGTTCCTCAATGTCTGTTTAATGTTTTTCTTCCATTAAGTCTAGTTCCCTGTACTAGTGCCAACAGATACCTATGTGTGCATGATCTGATTGCTTCTCCTTGTAGCAAATTAGGGGAAAACACATTAAGGAAGATCCTATTTCACAGTATGTCATCTAACAAATAATGGAAACAATTTCCTGTTTAATTGAAGAATATTATTCTGTTGATACTGCAGTAATTTTAGGAATGATTCATCCTCCCTTTTCAACTTTTGCTTTAATTATGTAATAAGTAAGTAAATCAGTTGTCTCCAAGTTTTCCTACATGGATACTACTTTCATTAAGCTTATAATTACGAATGACAAAGGCTATGGTTGAAAGCTGTCTCCTTATAAAGAACTTTTACTTAACTGTATATTATAATTGCTTTTTGGTTGTCCACCCAAATTACCATTTGGGTGTGATGGATATTAATGTGCACGTAACATGTCATACCTCTGCTTCACTTATCATTTCTCCCAGGTCTACCCTCATTAACAAAGCCCAGTGTACTTTCAATGTTGAAACTTATAAATGGATCAGTGGAATTCTCATGGCATCTTCCTCTATAGTGGCAGTTTATTAAGGAAGAGTCCAGTATACTGGGTGAGACAATAATGAAAGCAGGGAAGAGAACTCAGATATGCTTATCTTTGTGGCTGCAGTTTGGCATTTTCTCAGCCCCCAAATATGTGTCTTCAGTCATTATGTAAAAATAATAGTCATAGTGTGCCCATTTTCTTTGTGTTCTTATGTGGACATCCAAATAACTTCACTGATACAAAGAGCAATGAAAATCACAACCAGCTTCATGTCTCATGCAGACCGAAGTAGAGTTGTCTTCTCAACTTTCTAAAATGAGATTTGCAAATGAGGTGAACCTGATTTAAAGTATCCAGTCAAGTGTATTCCACATAGATTGATTAATTTGAGTAAAGAGTAATGCTTCTTAGGCATGCCAATGCTCATCTCAAATTTATCCCTGTCCTCTGGGTCAATGCTAAGTATAAGGCAAGGTTGTACATTTTAACCAATGAAAATGCAATCTAGGAAAATGAAAAATAATGACAAAAATGGAAGGACTTACAAAAGAGAAATGTTTGGAGATACTTTTTTTATTATTTTCATTTATTCCAGCTTTATTGAGATATGATTTACATACAACATATGTAAGTTTTAGATGTACAGTGTAATGATTTGATATATCTTTATATTGCAAAAAGATTATCACAGTAAGGTTAGTTAACACATCCATTACCTCACATAATTACAATCTTTATTTTTTGTGTGTGTGGTTGGAACATTTTTTTAAATTGAGATAACATTGGTTTATAACACTATAAATTTCAGGTGTACATCGTTACATTTCAATTTCTGTGTAGACTACATCATGTTCACCATCTAAAGACTATCCATCACTATACACATGTGCCCTTTTACTCCTTTTGCCCTCCCCTCTGATAACCACCAATCTAATCTCTATATCTATGTGTTGGTTTGTTGTTTATGTTTTTTTATCTTCCACATATGAGTGAAATCATACAGCCTTTGACTTTCTCCATCTGACTTATTTCACTTAGCATAATACCCTCAAGATTCATCCAGGTTGTCACAAATGGCAAGCTTTCATCTTTTTTATGGCCGAGTAGTATTCCATTGTATAAGTATACCACATCTTCTTAATCCATTCATCCATTGATGGGCACTTAGGTTGTTTCCAAGTCTTGGCTATTGTGAATAATACTGCAATGAACATAAAGGTGCAAGTATCTTTTAGAATTAATATTTTCATATTCTTTTGATAAATACCCAGAAATGGAATAGCTGGATCATGTGGTAGTTCTATTCTTAATTTTTTGAGGAATCTCCATACAGTTTTCCATAGGGTTTGCACCAGTTTACATTCCCACCAGCAGTGCATGAGGGTTTCCTTTTCTCCACATCCTCTCCAACACTTGTTATTTTTTGTTTTTTTAATAATAGCCACTCTGACGGGCATGAGGTGATATCTCATTGTAGTTTTGATTTGGGTTTCCCTAATAATTAGTGATGTTGGACATCTTTTCAGATGCCTGTTGGCCTATGAAATGAATGAATGAATATATCTTCTTTGGAAAAATGCCTGTTCAGATCTTTTGTCCATTTTTTCATTGGGTTGTTTGTTTTTTTTGTTGTTGAGTTGTATTAGTTCTTTATATATTTTGGATATTAACCTCTTATCAGATATATGATTTGCTAATATCTTCTCCCGCTTGTTAGATAGTCTTTTCATTTTGTTGATGGTTTCCTTTGCTGTGCAGAAGCCTTTTAGTTGGACGTAGTCCCATTTGCTTATTGTTTCTTTTGTTTCCCTTGCCTGGGTAAACATGATATTCAAATAGATACTGCTAAGACAGATGTCAAAGAGCATACTGCCTATGTTTTCTTCTAGAAATTTTATAGTTTTAGGTCTTACATTCAAGCCTTCAATCCATTTTGAGTTAATTTTTGTGTATAGTGTACGATAATGGTCTACTTTCATTTTTTTTGGAATGTGGCTGTCTAGTTTTCCCAACACCATTTATGAAGAGACTTTCTTTTCTCCATTGTAGGTTCTTGGATCCTTTGTCAAAAATTAGCTGCTGATAGATGTATGGGTTTATTTCTGGGCTTTGAATTCTGTTCCATTGATCTGTGTGTCTGTTTTTGTGCCAGTACCATGCTGTTTTGGTTACTATAGCTTTGTAGTATATTTTGAAGTCAGGGAGTGTGACACCTCCCGCTTTGTTTTTTGCCTCCAGATTTCTTTGACTATTTGGGATCTTTTTTTGTTCCACATAAATTTTAGGATTCTTTGTTCTATTTCTGTGAAAAATGTCATTGGGACTTTGATACAGATTGCATTGAATCTGTAGATTGCTTTAGGAAGTATAGACATTTTAACTATGTTAATTCTTCCAATCCATGAGCATGGACGATCTTTCCATTTCTTTGTGTCTTTGATTTCTTTCAACAATGTTTTATAGTTCTCAGTGTACAGGTCTTTCACCTCTTTGGTTAACTTTGTTCCTAGATATTTTATTCTTTTGGTTGTGATTGTAAATGGGATTGCATTTTTGATTTCTCTTTCTGCTATTTTGTTGTTAGTGTATATGTGTGTGGTGAGAATGTTCAAGATTTACTCTCCTAGCAACTTCAAATATACCATACAGTATTGTTAACTAGAGTCACCATGCAGTGCATTACTTTACCAGAACTTATTCATCTTAAAACTGCAAGTCTGTACCCTTTCATCATTTTCACCCATTTCTTCTGCCCTCCTACCCCTACTTCCAACCCCTGGCAACCACCAGTCTGGTCTGTTTCTATGAGTTCAGTTTTTTAAGAATCCACAGGTAAGTGAGATCATACATTATATGTCTTTCTCTGTATGGCTCGTTTCACTTAGCATAATGCCCTCAAGGTTCATCCGTGTTGTCACAAATGACAGAATTTCCTTCTTTTTTTATGGCTGAATAATTTGCATTGTATATATATACACCACATTATCTTTATTCATTCATTCATCTATGGACGCTTAAGTTGCTTCTAAGTCTTGGCTATTGTAAATAATGCTACAATGAACACGAAGGTGCAGATATCTCTTTGAGATAGTGATTTTGTTTCCTTCAGATATATACCCAGAAGTCGAATTGCTGGATCATACCGTAGTTCTACTTTTAATTTTTTGAAGAACATCCATACTCTTTTCCATAATGACTGTACCAATTTACATTCCCACCTTTACATACACCTACAGTGTACAAGGGTTCCCTTTTCTCCACATCCTCACCAACACTTGTTATTTCTTGTCTTTTTGATAATAACCATTCTAACAGGTGTGAGGTGATACCTCACTGTGTTTTTGATTTGCGTGCCCCTGATGATTAGTGATGTTGGACTCCTTTTTACGTACCTGTTGGCTATTTGAATATCTTATTTTGAAAAACATCTATTCAGGTCATTTGCCCATTTTTTAAGTGGATTATTTATTTTTTGTGCTATTGAGTTGGGCTCTGCAATCACCTCTGGTCAGGTGAGGTCACAGGCTATGTTCCCTGGCAGTATCGTGCACTGGTTGGACTCTATGACTGAGCAGGATTATAGGCTTGGCTACACAATCGCTCCTGGTTGAGTGAGGTCTCAGGCTATGCTCCCCAACTGGATGTGCCTCTGGCTGCATTCTGTGTTCAGATGGGGCCACAGGCAAAGATTCATGGTAGCACAGGGCTTCAGGCTGTCTGTGATCGGGTGGGTCTCCGGGCTATGTTCTGTGATTGGGAGGAGTTGTTGACTGGGCTCCTGGGCAAGGCCACAGACTGTGTTCAGCAATTGGGCAGGGCCATAGTCTGGGCTTTGCTGCAGGACAGGATTACAGGATGGCCTCCACAGCTGCCAGGTTTCTCTGGCTAAGCTTCCTGGTTGAGTGGGATTGGAGGCTATACTCAGCAGTTGAACGGGGCTGTGTTTGCTCCCCTGCCTAGGTGAGGCTATAGAACAGGCTCCAAAACTAATATGGCTCATTGGCTGGGGACTCAACTCAAGCAGAACTGCCAATGGAGCTCCCTGGCCAGATGGGGCCATCAACTTCAGCTCTGCAGATGGGCATATCCACTGACTGGGATCTCAGTTGGGGTGCTCCTGCAAGCAGGAATGCAGTCAATCAAGATCTGAGTGCTGGTTGCTGTAGGTCTCGGCTTCCTTCTTCATCTCTACCTGATACCCGGTTGTTGAGCCCTGGAGATTCCTCCGGAGATCCCTGTGAGGCGAGACTTAACTAGGCCTCTCAGGAAGCATCATGCAATATTAGAGGAACTGGATATCCACCTTAGGCTCTCTTTTTTTCCAGTGGAGAAACCACAGGCCTAGGAGGGCCCTCTCTGTGTGGCACTGTGCTGGCCTGGGGGAAGGGCAGTATGGTCAGAGTGTAGCCCCTCCTCTTACCCTTCTGATGTGGTCCTTCCAGCTCTCTGTGGTCCAGGGAGGTGCTTCAGCCTCACTGCTGGGGTCTGGGATTTTCCCAATGGTGTCTTATCTATAGATAGTTGCTAGCTGGTCTTCTTGTGGAGGGGACTGAAGTTGGGAATGACCTATGTCACCATCTTGATGAAATCCTGGAAATACATTTATATGATAAAAATATTTCACAGGAAAGCATAAACTTAGAGGTAAATATATATATCTACCTCTAACACAGAGATGCTGAATTCAAGAATCCCAGATGAATGCAAAACTGTATGCTGACATTGATAATAATTTGATAAAATGAAACTATGCCATGATACATTGTTTGTTTTAACTTTTATAGAGGTTGGTCATTCACATAGGCCAGGCAGGCAGCAAAGTCAGATGTCAAACCATCATGTAAGTAGTTTCATTATCACCATGAGCTGCTCTGACCTTGTCAGTTCTGGTGAGTAGAGCACTTAAGTCTTGAGTCCTGTCAATAAATATCTGGTAGCTGATCTACTTCCAACAGGGCTTGACAAGGTCATGATGTTTTGCAACCTTCTTTTCCTACAAATGATAATGACTTTGGGTTCCAAAGAGATTGCTTTACAGCATGTGATGTACCATTAGAAATGGCATATTCAACTGAAACTCAAGTCTGTAGGAATGTCAAGGACATTTAAAAACAACAACAACAAAATATACACACACATACAAACACACACAAAATACCTAGCTGAAGTGAAGCAAGTGATGAAGTTGTTCGTATGTACTCCAAGCTTCATACATAGAAGAAAATTAGTTGCATCTGGCATGATGGAACTGAAATATCTAGTCTTTGTTGGAAAAGCACTGAGGTTGAATTATAATGGCTATGATAATTTAGGGAGATGTGGTTACTTGTAGAGAAACCCAAGTTGACAATGATAAATTTAAATAAATTTACGGTAAGTTTGAATGCGAGTGTCAGCCAATTAAATGAGCAATCAAACTCCAAATAGAATTAGTTTCTTTTGAACTACCAACTCCATGGAGAGCCCCATTACTTGGCAAAAACAGAAAACTTATAGAAGAAATCCATCAAAATATATGGTCTGGAGCTAAATAAGAGCTGAGGTAGCAACTGTGTTTATAAGGGAGAGAAACCTAATTTGGAATCAAGATCAGCTATTAAGTTTTAAGTAAAATATGCTTAGAGTCAGAGGCAAATTAGAGGTTTGAGAATAGAAACTAAACCTCCCATTATTTTTCCTTTATTTATTCGTTTGCTTACTTAATTATTTATTTAGAGGTGCGATAATTATTTGTTCCCAATATGGCAAAATTTAAGTCCAGAAGTTACAAACTCAATGCCTACAGGACCAGGAAATTAACATGAATATTAACATGAAGCACCCAATGTTATATAATAGTGAAGGTTGGGGACCATGGCCAACAAGGGAGCTCATGACTTATAGAAGACATCCTTCCCATTCAGTTTTCTGATTTAGAAACTTTCTTTTGGACAATTCAAATGCTGATGATTTTGACCAGTAGACCTCCAGATCTGCGAACTCATACTGAGACCATTAAATAATTACTTGAATCAAATTCACCTAAAGATATGTTATGTAAAGATGAGATTTAACTATTTCAAGACTGAAAATATGAAGTAATACCAGAATTTGTGCATAATATTATTAAAAAATGCATCTGAATCACATATGTAGAAATGTTTTTAGCGTTCTCACCTAAGAAACCAGGCTATAATAAATATTAACTTTTTGGCAATGCACTTTTAATTCTTTGGCTAAAGCTGCTCTGCTAATCCCTTTCATTCAATTGCCTTAGCTCACACTTTCATGTTTATTGATAGCTAGCACTTTGCTCAGTTTCACTGACTCATGAACTATTTTACCATTGATCATTAGTATCTATTCTGCTTAATTACACTTCTGTTGATATCTCAGTAATTTCTACTTAATTTGCTTTCAAGGAAGTGTTTGGAAACTGAAACCTTTAACCATTTCCATTGCTCCAGGATATGCTTCTGTCTGGTAGTATTTATCTATTTTGAGAAGAGAAGATGTTCTATGAAGAGAATAATTAGAAATCATTCTTGTTCAACCTAATGAGTACTTGCAATACAAAACTTTAATTTAGTTTTAAGTGAATTCTTAGGATCTAAAATATATCCATGTTAATTAAATTGGTAATACATTTGTTGCATAAGTATAAAATATTTTAAATTATGTAGTATTTTTATGAATTAGCCGTTTTACTATCATTGTCCACATTTCTGGTCTATGACATTATTACTCAATAAATATTTATAAATAAATGGATGAATGGATGATTATACTTACAACTATTATTAACAAAAATTGTAAAATATAAATTTAGAAGAAATTTCTTGATAAACTCTCTATTAGTATCGAAGAAACAGTATCATTATTGGTATAGGCAGAAAGTAAAAGCAATACCAAATAACACTGGTGATTCTTAAGTGAACAGTTTACAAATAAGTCTCTACTTGCATCAATAATGCCAGAAGTAATAATTATAATAACTGGCGAATATTAGAACTCACATCTCATATTCCTAACCCTCAAATTCGGAATTATATTGAAGAGTTTTAACACACCTGGAAAGATTAGATCAGAACCTGTAGGTTAGGATAATGGGAATAGAATACGATGATCTTCATTAATAATCCCCTTACCACTCTAGATTCCTATCACCTCACATTATTTGTGGGTACTAGGAGGAATTATCTCTATCTGAACTGACCAAATTTTTACCCCACATACTGGACCCTAATGTCTTTCTTATTTATTTAGAACTCAGCCTGAAAAAACAAATACAAGAAGCTAAAAGATATTCTATAAATATATTTATATTTTTATTATTTTTTGATTCTTTAAACTTATTGTTTCAAATAAAAGATGGTTATGATGTGATAAAAAAAGTTTCTCGAAGGCCAGAATCCTCAGTCACTATATTAAATTGCCCCTGGCATTACCATTGGATGCTTGAGATTGGCTATATATGTATGATGGCATCCATAAGACACCAAAAGGGTCTATCCGTTACGTTCCCCCGTACATATCCCAACGTATCCCCGTTATGTTGATCGTGCAGTTAGGGAAATGGTGCTGGTGGTTCCTGATTTATGGTAAAAGTGAAAAAGAGGGAAAGTCAAAATAAGAAATCTCAAAAAACTCTGAATTTATATTGTGTGACTTCCTTGTAGACTATGTTAGAGATTTGTACCTATGAACATATCTCCATCGTATAGGTCTTGGTTGGTGGAGTAAGTCTGTTCTTCATATGAATTAGTAACAATGTAAAATCAAACATTTTGGCATTTAGTTAGGTTTTGGCATTAAGTTTAGTTAGATTTAGTTGCATTAGTTAGGTTTTGATAAAAGTTCCTGGTTAGATAACTTAGAAATTTAAAAAAGCAATCTCATTTTCTTATGCTCTGAACTGGACAGGCAGCATTAAAAGTTTTAACTTCCCAATATGGTTCCCATACAGGCTAACTCAATTGAAAACATCTGCCCTCTTGGCTCTCAGAGTCAATGGCATTTTCACTGGTCTAATCATGTCTTGAACTTTGTTGTTGAATCCCCAGAGTCACTTCTCTAGGTAGAGGCAATGAAGCAGCAGGAGTAACACTGGGAATACATGTGACAGATGTTTTTAAAATCAAATCCATCAAATATTACTACTTTAAATTCACTGAAAATTGATTAGACCCACTCGTGTGATCTTGCCTCATATTGGTTTTGTTTAGTTTAGTTAATGTTGCAATTAATCTTTGCAAAATCTGATTCATGCCCAAGCTTCTTTCATGCCATGATCTGTTTGTATAAATCTTCTGAAACAAAAGACCCTAATTCGATCTGTTTTCATGATTGAAAAGAGTAAGTTGATATTGCTTTGTTTCCACAGTGATATAATTAAGATGCCCACGATCTTCTAATTAATCTAATTTAAAATTGCTTTGGCTGTTAGAAATCCTAATAGAATATAATGCATTGTTTTTCTTTCTTATCTCTGTCATTAGTCAACAGAATTAATTTCGACAAGTTGGAAACAAACGCAATGTTTATTTGCATATTCAGATTTCATTCTAAGCCAGACTTCTTTGTCAAAAATGATTCTTCACTTACTAAGTAGTATTTCTCTCAAGAACCACTTTAACAATGTTTAAAGTATAATATATAATAAGAAATAATGCTATATGATTTGTTATTGTAATGCATATATTATTTATTTATATTTTTCACATTATATAATATGTATCTATATATTTATAATATATATACCCTAATTAATATACTTAGTGTTAAGTATAAATAATATAAAAGTATAATAATATAAATATATATTCCATAAATAATTATTTATAATATTTATAATTATTATCTATTATACTCTAGATAAGCAAATAAGCACCATTTACATTGAACATTGTAATGGAAACAACAACAAAAAATAAATAAACATGTAAAGAAGAGAAATTCAGTAATTGGCTAGCTCATTTTAAATATAGTAGTGGTCATCTAGCTCATGGTTAGTTTTTAGAAATAAATAAAGAATGTTAATATTTTATGAAAATTATTTTAGGGTATAAGACTGTAAACCAGAAAAAGGAGTTGTACATTAATTCTTCATTGTAATTGCTTATATAAATAATGCATAAATTTTGCAATTAAAATTAGCAATGGGATATTTATTGTAAATTTTTCTAGAAAAAATGTCAGATTCAATAGTTAAAGAAAGAGAGATATTTAAATAGGTAAACACACATCTAGAAGTTTTAAACTTAAAAATAACCTTATATTAATAAAAAATAGGAGTAGGGAAGACTTTAGAAAACCATGAATCATTTTCTCTGAATTTTTCTCATCATTGTACAAACTGGCATTTCTGTCTTCTGGCATATGGCAAACATTCTTTTTAGAAATGGGCAACACAGAGATTAGAATTAAAAGTGAGGTTGTTTTTTAAATTGATAATTCACATTTGATTTGTTAACAAAATGATTTAGCAATGAAACTAAACAGCGAAAGTCCATTAAGCAACATTAGAATGCAGCTCTACCATCTTCAAAGAAAACTGGCCTGTCTGTCTCTCAGTATATGTTCATATCTGATGTTAAATAGTTGCACTTACATTGAAAATGTAAATTTAATTAAATGATTCATAGTAATAATAAGTTCACACTACATATTAAATATGCTGATGAAACTACTCTTTTAAAAATATCCCTAAACTCATTTACTAATCCTCTGACCGAAAGCACATGAGTGTGTAAATAATAGTTTACTCAATATGTCAATTGTTGATAGTAAAACATTTCAATGGATTATTTTGATTGTTTGCAAATAGTCAAAAGAAGCCAGTATTATGATACTCAGAGATGCTTGCATCTCATGAAAGCCCTTTTTAAACATTCTATTTAGAAACAATTCTGCTTTATGTTATCATATATTTTTTATCATATATTTCAATGCTTAAAATATTCCCTTTCTAAAAACATAATCTATTTTCCATATGTTTTCAGCTTTGATTATATTTCCCTCCTCTTATGTCTAAATTTGGTACTTTAATTTTATTTCCCAAGGGTATATTTTTTTAAATTTTGCCAAGAGGATTATGTCCTCAGTTCAAAAATAAGCCTTGCATAACTAAAGACTGTTAAAAATCAGTCCCTTTAAAAAAACTTTTTTAGTGATTGATATTTAATGAATATTGATAATAAAGTAGATGAATGAAAAAACTTATTGAGATAAAATTGCTATGTAAAAACATTTTTGATGAAGAAATGCATTTCCTAATTGCATACGTTTAGGGCAAAATTCAGATTAATTTGAATTAAAGGTGTTCTACAGCTAAATAGGAATGGATTAAACCCTCTGTTCATACTCATTAAGCTCATAGGACCTACCTTAACTTTTTTCTACCAAGATGTTCCAACTCTTTCAAATATTTTCCATATTGACTTATATAACACAGATTTACCCAGTCCTTGACTATGTCATATATTCATATTATAAAGAATATAAATGTATGTGTATATATATATATAATAACTTTAAAAAGAAGTAAGAAACTAACATAGATTCTGTTGATTCTGTGATTAAGAAGAAAAACTGCTCAACATTATTAGTCATGGAAATGCAAACTAAACAACAATGAAAAACCCTTACACACCCACCAGAATGCTTACATTAAAAAGACTAACAATACAAAGTGTTGACAAGGATGTGGAACAAGTGGGTACACTCATACTATGTTGGTGGAAATGTAAACATGAAACTGTCACTTTGAAAAACTATGTGATGGTTTCTAACAAACATATTTCTTCCTTATAGCCCAGCAATTTCAGCTCTAGGTATATGTCCAAGAGATATGAGTGCATATGTG